GCCCCCGCCCCCGCCCCCGCCTGTTCCTCCGCCGCGCCGCCGCCTCGGGCAAGGGGCCTGCGCGCGAAAGCGGGAGCGTGCCGCATCGGACGTCCCGCGAGCCTTTCGCTGCACACAAAGCGCACTATCAAGAAGATCGCGCTTCTGAATGACTCATACGAAGTGCCTCTACGTGACAGGCCTTTACATGCAGGATCAAGTGAAGAACCGGATTCTAAACGATACAACAGGCGTTGGAAGGACTTACGTGTTTTAACAGTTCCCTGGACTATGAACGACTCTCATGATTAACGATGAAAAAGATATTCGCTTTAAAGATTTACCTACGTGATTACCACCCTCACATAACACAATAAAAGTGCTGCGTGATGGTGAATGTATATTATATACAATACGTTACAAACTACAAACAAATAATGTTTCTTTCTGCCTTGTATACGAAGATGAGCAGAATCCTTTACATATGCATGCATAATCAAATTTTATGATTTCACTCATCATCTAGGCAGATCCTGTGCCAATCATCTCTGGGGAAACTTTTATGGTACAAAATAATTATTAAAGTAGTTTTTTTAGAAATTGTATAATTACAAGCACACTAAAGACTGTAACAGATGAATATTTTATATAAATAATGCTTCAAGTACGTTACCAGAGTTTGAGATGGCAAGCCGCAAGGAAGGAAGACTGAAGAGAGTTTATACAAGCGTATACTTCTCAGCTGAATTAAAAGTATCACAGGATGGTTTAAAGTTTTTGTGCTTCTCGTTATATCTGTGTGAGGCGTCTGGAGTGGGTTTAAAGTTTTGGAATTACGTTACAGATGTTAAAAAATGTAACTAGCTACCAAGTGTCCCTAATCTGACACGTAAAATATGGGTAAGACGCAACCCTAAATACATTTTTAAACAATATTTTATTTCTTTTACTTTGATGTTCATCTCATGGCGCTGTTTCTTTCGCACATTCATTTTCCGAAAATGATCGGGTATCGAAGGCCGAAAATCACAAAACCGAACAGTTAAAAACATGGACTGAGACCTTGAAAGTCTTCTTATACATCTACTGACAAAACTAGTGCTTCCCACAGTAATCAGCTCATTCATCTGTAGTTTTTGGCTGATAAAGTTCAAAGTTCAGTCGTTCTATGTAAAATCGGGGAGGGCAAATGAGTATCGAACATTATCTACCTGTCGTTCTATATCTATTCTTTCAACTCGTTTACAAATAAGGAGTTTTTTTCAATAAAGTAATTCACCTAAGAACAAGTAACCCGAGAAATGAAGCAACAAGGAAGTTTATTATATCGAAAATAAACTTGTCGCGGATTGTAGTCACACACACACTTCACAAAATGTGTTCCAAGCATACTTTCACAGCATTATCTACCTCTCGTTCATCCTCTTTAGTGCTAATTATTCAGCAAACTTTCTATATCGTGGGAGATCCTCATGTTAAAATTTCATATTCTAATAAAAACATTTGGCGGTGTTAATGTTTGCGAAACGCAGAACTCGATCCCGATCTTCGTGCATTAGAAATGTGAAAGATTCTGACGCCCTCAGGGTCTGCTTTAGAAATTTAGTACCTATGTAACATAAATTGTTGATTTGTATATAATATATAATTACATAATATTTAATTACATAACATGATTTGCATATGTTGGGAATTTTCCACTCAACGATTGAATTCTTACTCCGTATCGTAGAATTCATTCCAAACCCAGGCACCCCAGCTAGTATACGATCTGACACGACAGATCCAACAACCTTACCTTACATACTAACTTACTTACGTCCCGCAACAGTTTATGCTTTCGTAGACGCCGCGATAGTGGATATTTCCTATATAATTTTAGCCGTCGCTGCTGTCTTCTTACCCTACCTCGCTGTCCGTCTCTTCACTCTTTGGGTATTGTCAAATAAAACATATAAGTTCAAACAAAAACAAAATTCATTGTTCGAAAGTTCTGTATTGCTAATCAATCGGCAAACTGTTACCTGCTCCGCGTTGCTGAATGTCTTGTTCTGTATTCTTGAACCTTCCCCAATATTTCACCTATCTTCTAATCACTTAAAGACACAACTAATAGAGTATTTTAAACAAGTATTTCACTTTAAATAACCGGACTTAATCGTTATGCATCCATATGTTTCGAACTCTCGCAGTCTCCCAAAACTCTTGCATCCATAGCAACCCATTACATTACTCAATTGTTCATTATCTTACATGTTAATGCAACAGTACCAGTTCTATATTTTCATTTCGTAACATTAGCATCACTTCCAAGATTTACACCATTTATCAAAACCACCCGCTTGTCCAGAAATAGATTACTAAGCCTGTCAACTGGAGTAACTAACTAGCCCCCTTTTCTCATGCGTTTGTTGCGTTTTGTGTCGGCAGGAACGGCTCAGCGCGCTTCAGCTGGACGAGCAGCAACTGGAGCAGGTGACGCGCGACAAGCGCACCATCGCAGTGCTGCGGCAGCTGTTTCCGGGCGTCGGCCAGGTACGTCTCGCCTCCCCGCCCCTCCCGCTCCCTATCCCCTGGACCAGGACCAGGACGACGACCGGGACGACGACCGGGACCGGGACGACGACGACGACCACGTTGACAGCACGAGGTTTGTCCAGCAACGGAATCAGGTTGGTGCTTGGAACTGCAGAAGAACGAGGAACGAGCGCTGGTGAAGAATTTGTCGGCGAGTATAGATGATGAAAAGAACCTAAGAACTCCACTAGCCAAGTCTTTCTTTTCTTCACATTGAGAGAGCACATCCTCCCTCACGACTTCATTTGTAAATGGAAACCATCTTTGGACCTACTGGCCCTCTTTCGCTTCTTATTTTCTGACGCAACTTTACTTTGTAAAAAGTAAAGAATGGTAATCCGATGCGATTGAATTCAGAAAATAAGAGGTAAAACTCATTTCATCTTATTCACAGTATTTACAAATCTACATTTGTTGAAGAGAGCCTAAAATAACGAAAATAATTAATGAAGGGTATAGAATCGTCTCTGATCTTAGAGGACTTACAATCTCTTGCTATTCGTATGTATATATTATTTAGATAGTGAATAAATATTCACTTCTTTAATGAGGCAATTTGCGATAGTTATTGTGGGTCAAATTACTTGAGTGTAATATTAACAAGTACCACCGTTAAAAAATAACGATCTTACTGCACTATGGAGCCATTTGCCTAAATGAACACTAGCAACAAATCAATGACGTCACATTGTTTTACCATTATAGTTCATGAAAATGTTCAGAGTAAAAACAAATTAATTTGCATTCTTTACCTACCTATTCACTCAATACGCAAATACATTTTATGCAATTTCAATTAAAATGGGAGAAATTAACATTTTAAAGCAGAAAACTCAATTTTCCTGTTGAACACCTCCTTCATGCTTCATTTAGGACACAATGGATGTTTCAAGCGGCTTAAACACAACATTTAGTTCAAGCTGACCTCTTCACACACAATCACCGCCGGGCGCCTGACCGCCGCCAAAACCGCGCCCAATCGGCCACGCACCCAACCGCTGAAACGCCGCCCGCCCGCCCGCCCGCGCGCGCGTGCTGTGCAAAGTGGCGGTTGAAGCGCTAGCCCAACGGTGAAAGTCGCGCCGATACGCGCGTCGTTTGCGCAGCTCGCGCGGCCGGGGGCGTGGCAGGGACGTGGCGGGCGTGGGCCGAGCGAAGTGGGTGGGGCGGGGAGGAACGAAGCGGAGTTGTATGCGGGACTCGCGTCGCCTTGGTGTGGAGCGGACGTGGCGGGGTAGCGCCGAGCGGAAGCTGCGTGGGCGGGGAGGGCGGGCAGTGGGCGGGGAGGCGGCGGGAGTGGCGGGAGGAACGAAGCGGAGTGTAGTGGAGTTTGAGCGGGACGGCTGCGCTCAAGACGAATGGTATGAGTAAGCTCGCGCTGCCGGGGCGTGGAGGATACCTTGGCGGGGTGAGGCCGAGCGAAGTGGCGTGGATGAGGCAGGGAGGGCGGAGTTATCATGAACGAAGATGAGTTGTTAGTGGATTGAGCAGGGCGTGCTATGCGCTCAAGACGGTAATGGGTAAGGTGGAGCGGAGGCGGTGCGGAGGATCCGGGCGGAGTGAGTGGGTTGGGCGAACAGTGCGGGAAGCGCGTGGCGGAGAGTCGGGAATGGGATGGGGCGACGCGAGAAAGAATGAAGCGAGGTGGTGCGGGGTGGGGCGGAACGGTGCGAGGTAGTGGCAGTAGCAGATAGGCAAGCCCGACTAGTACGAGGTGAAGCGGTGCGAGCAGGATGAGACCGGGCGAAGTGGACGGGGCGGGGCGGGGAAGAGACAAGTGGGACACTGCGGGGTGGCGTAGGCCGGAGCGGAGCGGGACAGAGCGAGGCTGGCCGGAGTGGTGCGGAGAGAGCTTGGTCGGTCCGGGCGGAGTGGGCGGGGCGGGTCGAGGAGGAGCGATGGGAGAACGGGGAGTGGCGGCGCGTGGCGGGACTCTCCGTGAGTGGGGCCGGTCGGAGAAGGTCTGCTCCGCTGAGGCTCCGACGACCTCTCTCAAGGCCCTCGATCCTTCGGCACGAGTGAATGGCACAAGGCGCGCGTTTGTCCGACGGACGGCACATTTCACACGACGGATATGTTTCAATTATAGTAACGACTCGATATTTTGTCACGTATTCAAAGAGAGGTGCTGTGTTTCGTGTAACTGGATTTTCAGTAAGAAATATATCTTATCATAAGAAATTTACTAAAACTATTGATTTATATGAATGATTGAAAGAAATATATAACTTGATTCGAACACTGCGTCTATTACAAGTAATGCACCACTGAATAAATATCACCATAGAAAATAATTGTATTATTTAAATGTTCTTGAGTTCAGATCAGTTTATGAATAAAATCTCTGTGCGTTTTTCATGCCGACTTTACTGCTCTCTAAGAAATCGTATTAAGGGATTCAACTTATTAATAAAGATTACACACACTAGCTTGGACAGAAATATACATCACAGATAACTAATATCACTCTTCCTACTTTCATCCATTTTTTCACGACTTAATTCATACAATATGAATTCATACTATAAATATTTGTACAAAGTACCAAAATAAATAAAAACAGCTTGGGCTTTTTATTTTATTTTTTTATAATATAGTTTACACTTTTCATTGTATTATTCTTTATTTTCTATGCTTTTCTCCTGATCAAATGTCTGTTTGCTAAGTTGAAGTAAAAAAATACCATTTTTCCTCGTTTAAGGTATTTTAGAGAGAAGAAATAAAAACAAAATTAAATGAGGTTTCATAACGCATCTGTTGATTTTTCCGGTGCTTCTTCTTTCACTGTCCAGATGGAGAATGCATGGAGAATGGATGCAGAATATTTTTAATGACTCAATATATATTCCTGCAGTTGTGTTGAGTTTCCAAAATGGACTGAACTCATTAATATTCTCCACAAAGCTCCCTTGCATTTCGAAAGCCTCATCCTGCCTTTCTGTATGTCTGATCCTTTGCTTGACTTGGACATGTTTTATTACACTGTGCAATAAATATACAACACTGACATATCATCCCTAGACATCTCCACTTTCCTTTTGGTACAGAGTGCCCAACCTGCTCCCAACTGCTAACTGGTCACAACGAGATGCTGTGCTTCCGTCCCTAAGATAGTAATGCGAGTCAAACGTTCCTCTTCCAGTTGATCGATAGAAAGATCCAACAGATCACTCAGTACTTGTTCCGCACCATCGGGCGACTGGTGCTGCGCGGCGGTCTGGGCGGGGGCGGGAACGCGGCGGCGGGTGGCGGCGGCACCAACAACCGCCGCATCAGCATCACGCTGCCCACGTTCCCGCCCGACTCGGACGAAGACGAGGACGAGGAGGAAGACGGTGGCGCGACGGACAACGCGACGGAGGCGGGCACCACCATGCCCACTCCGGTACAATAGCCGCCCGATGGGTCCCCCCTGTGTACATAGTACTAACCCAGGCGGCCGGCTGGGATGCTGACCGTTACGGGCGAGGGCTGCACGCGGGACACCACACACTCCCCCCTCCCCCCGCCGGGCTGTTTGGCCCGGAGCATGCCACGCCCACAAAGGGTCTAACGAGTTCTCACACGACTGACCCCTTCTAGTTTAAATTTCCCCTGCGAAGCAAGTTCCTCGCACGTAACTCTCAGAATCCCAGCCCTTTTCCTTTCTTGATAGTTGCATTGGCCTCTCAAATCAAAATAATAGGTTGTGAACAGACTGAACAATTAAGTGCAAAAAATCATGTCATATAAGCTAGTTATGTTCAAATACTATGTTAATATATTTGTGAAGAATTTAATTTCATTATATTGTTTTAAAAACTAATTAAGAGGCCAATATCGTTTTCAAAAATAAATATTAAAATAGTAAATATTTTAAATGTACAATATGGACAACCTCCCTGTGAGCTCAGTCTTACCGTAACGCCTGAAGTCAGATTGTGTAGGCAACTCTTTCGACGTAGTTGTCCTGCGGGTTGCGGGCACGAGTGTTGAAGTTTTGCTAATGGCCACTGAGAGCGCCACTGTACACGCGCTTTCTTGGCTTTAAAGCCATGAGTCATTCAAGATTGCACGGCTGTGCCGGTTTCACTACAATATCACCTTGAGAGACTGAGCTCACAATATTTCCATGCCCTCGATGTATAAAATCCTTTTTTTCCTTCCTGTAGTTACTTGCTTATTTGTATGCACGTTTTCTGGCATGTGTTCACTTTTTGTTAAATTAAATTAAACTCCTTCATTTGAATAAGATGGAGAAGTGGTGGCAGTGTGTTCAGGCGCTGGTGTTGGTTACCCGGTATATTCAAAATTACGTTTTCGACGAACAGTTATAAAGTTGATTTCTTCCACGTTTCCCCGTTTCATTTCTTCTTGACGAGGTATACGGTACGAAAGTATTGATATTCTACAACGTAATTTTCTTCGTAATGACGATATCAATACCATCTTTTTATTAATCGTGTATATATTTTTATGTGATATGAAGTTTGATTTATTATATCTATGAATCGGTCTTTGAATATGTCAGACCAGCTCGAAGCCTATGCTATTGTCAGCTGGTTAGTTACAGCATTCACCTACTGCCACCATTTTCATAACCACCTTTAAAAAACATAAGCTAAAAGGCAATTAAAAAATCTGCATTATCTGGCCGTACTTATGAACTAATTACTTTAGCAAAAACTAATCATTAAAAATACAAGTAGCATGCTCTTACTTGCTGCAAGAAATGAATTGCACAGATAGTCAAGTTTGACCCAAGTTCTTTTCATTCCACTTGCCATTACTATACCATTAACAGTCACTTGAAATATAATTTATAAATAACATTCACTAGAAAACTTCTTTGAAGGTATTTTATTGATTTTAGTATGGTCATTCAAATTACAATTTCCACTTGTACTTAAGGAATTTTGATTTTATGAATTGTAAAGAAATAAATACATAGACATGTATTTTGGTGAAGTTCTAATTTCATTGAAATTGCACCTACATTCATCAATAATGTAATATGGCTATTGTGTACAGTAGTATTACAATTTTCATACTTTGTGGCATGAATTAACCAATGAATTGCCTTCAAAGATAAAATTGTAAATATTAGTATTTTAAAAAATGTACTTCATACCTATTATCTACCTACACCAAAAAATACCTTTCTTAAGAAATAGATTAACTTATTGCATGCTGTTTATATTCCTTTCTTTGTAATACAAGTTATAACACTTAATATGATTAGCTTTAAGTTTTTCCCTGATAGTTTCCTAGTCCTCTTCAGACTAACATGGCATTTACTACACTATTAATGTACATAACTTCATTCTCGAATAACTTTAACTAATCCTCCCTCTGGTGCCCGCCTCCGGTGAGTGCCATCTACTCGCCGCCTCCGCTGCTGCTGTTTTCCAGTGCCCCGTACAACTGACTATATGTGGGCGCGTCAAGTCTTTCTTGTGTTTTAACAATCTGGTTATTTGACATTTACTGATGTCAAATATGTCTGTTTCATCCCATATGTTTGACAGTTATGGGATAATGATAAGTCTGTTTTTGTTTGTCACAGCTACCTTTTTGTGTGACCAGTGTTGGCATGCTTCTTCTCCAGTATATTCATCCTGCATTTGACTATATTGACATCCAATCATCCATAATAACAGTTCTGACTACAGCAATAAGTTGTGTCTGGTCTGCATTATGCCCCTCATTGCTATGTTGAAGAAAATAGAACTGATTGTAAATGAATGTTGAATAACAAACTGCATGTTACATTTCCTAAAAACCCACAAGGGTGGTCCATATAAAAAAATATAATTTCATGAATGCTCAAAACTAGTGGATTATTATCTCATAGATAATAAAAATTTTTACATAAGTGTTAAAGTATTGTTTGTACATTAAAATTCCAGATTCTTGTAAAGGGCTGTGGTTTTATAAAAAAATGGAAAAATAAAATAAAATAAAACACTATTAAATTGTTTATATTAATATAACTACAAAATATATTTTTTATATTTCTTACTTATTGAAAATACATTACAAATGTACACAAATTGAAGAAAGTGTGTAATTAATTTTCTGTCATCAAAGTAGCCTGTGTGATATGCAGTTCTAGAAATGTAACGCAATTAGAGCTGTTAAACAGTTTTATTGTAGCAATGGTTCAGTGCAAACATTATTCATCTCACAGAAGGTATGTCACAAATTATTCAACTCTGCAAATTTCAAACTGGTTTGTCAAATTTAAGAAAAAGCTTAAAATAGTAATTTTCAATGAAAGCCAACCAGATAGAAACAAGACAACTGATTTTATAAATAAATTGCAGTTATATGGTAAAATATTCTTCATTGAAAATTATTTGATTTTTGGTCTTGATTTCATTTATGTACTTACACTTCTTACAAATGTTTCTTTAGTATGATAATTATAACATTTTTAATTTTGAATATCATTTCAAATTTGTTATGACTTGGAAACATCTGTGTTAGCATAGATGCTTTTATGCATGAAAACTTCTTAAAAGCATTTAAGGAACATATTTATAATAAATTTAATGCAACAAACTAATTTAAATGAATGTTTTTAAAATGAATGTTGTTGTTAATCAAAGAGCATGTTTAATTAATTTGTTTATTTTTGTGCATGAAATTTTGAAATAAATATTTCCTCCATATTATACTTTTTTTTAATTTCATTTCAAAATTAATCCCAGTTTTAATTTTCATATAGAGTGAACTCAACCCAGAAGAAAATCAACTTGCGGGTGCCGAGTCCCAGGTAAATGAAGTTCGTGCCGATGAAAATGGTTATGCTGTTGACCAAGATGCCGCTGCAAGTGGAGGCAATGATGCACCTGACCCAGCAATTGCTATTGATGATGAGAATGCTGATGATGCTGATCGTAATAAAAGGCAGTTCAGCTTTGGCGCAAGTGGAGGATCTGGCGGAGGTTCTGGAAATTTCCTTTTCGACATCATCCGGGTAAGTTGGAAATTTTCTGAGAAATATTAATTAACTCTTGTTATGTAGGCTGCTCATAGTGTGATTTACATTTATTTTTAGTGATTCTTCTTGCCTTCATCACCTTCTAAAAATTTGCTAAATGACAATAGTTTGTTTTTGTTTACATTCTTTGTCATTTTCAGTAGCATGGTCAAATAATAATGTATAAACCTTGTGTTAATTCTACAGTTAATTTCTAAAATACTTCCTAAATATAACTCAAAGGTAGCATTGTATAATCAATAGAATTTTAGTTGCATGATTTTTAATAAAAAATTATCTTAAAAAAATGTTTAATGAAAATGATCCAAACCTCCTTTTCTTGATACTACTTTCTATCTTTTCTCTGAACTTACATAGTTTATGTCCCTTCTATACATATTTAGCAATGAAAAAATGCAATGAATGTGACTTAGATTGTTACTTTACTCCTGAATTGATCAATCACATCAACAATACAAAGGGTGAGCTGACAATCATCTACGTACAAGATCTCAAGAAATTGTGCACCCCTAAAATTGATATGCATCAAATATTGAACCTAATGACCTGAAATGCTCAATCTGATTTAATTGGCTCATTTACAAATCAGAGAACTGCTGATCGAGCTGCTCGGGCGGCTGGCACGATATATCGTGTTGTAGCCGGAACAGAAAACCTAGGGCTTGGCGTTGGTGTTTCTGCATCCCAAACCACAACTACCACTCGGACCAATCAGACGTCAGTGATGACTACCAACAATGGCACTCGTGTGGTAATGATTTCACCAAAATCCACAAAACTGGAAGATGAGACAGAGGCAAGGTTTTGACATCCAGATGAGATGAATTATGAGATTACTTTGAGCTTGCTAGATCTTCTTTATTGCCACCTCCAAATAACATTTACATACTTCTTAATAACAATCTGCATGAATTCTTAAAATGAAACTTTTCGACTATATTTTGAGCTTAAAAATATAGTAGAAGATAATCCCTGCATTATGATGTGAATGCATTTCTTACTAAAAAAATGTAACTAATGTGTAATATATAACATAACCACATGATTATCTACTATTTTTCACTTAATTTCCTGTATCAACACTTATTTCACATAAGCAAGCACATTCAATCTCTGTTCTTCATATTCTGGAAACTGATAAACAATCATTATAATACCTTGTCTCAATCTCATCTCTGGTGAAGTAGATCTGACGCTGCTTTCTTAGGCCCCATAGAAATCCATCATCTTTCCTGAAACTGTTTCCATTATAAATATTTACAGCTGGCAAATTTTTGTGTGCTTAGATTTTCGAAAAAAAAAAAATTTCAAATGTATGTTAAAGAAATTATGACAATATTTCTGATCTTTTGAAATATTTGTACAGCAACCAGTATGCTGTTGAGTATATGCAAGCTGTAAATCTAGATCAGATTTCCATTCACTGATATTATATATGCTGCCAGCTTTCTTGCACAGTATCTTTTGGTCCTGCACCTTTCTTTCTGGTATTCTACCTTCTGCATGATGCATGTTCTCAGCCCAGAGTTACCATTAAATATCTTATATCAAATGACCTTCGCTTCATATTGCATGCTTCCCCTTCAATTAATCATGTTTCTTAAAAATTTTAAACTTGTGGTAACACTGGGTGTAGATAAACTATGCATGTGGACCAACCTTCCTCATTCCAAAATAAACATGGTAATATTCATTTATTCTAAAATATAACTTTTGATAAGTTTAACTGAATTCTAATACACCAGTGATAAATCTCTCACTTTATCTTCACCATAGCAGAAGGAACAGCATGATGAAGATTTTGATAGAGCATGGAACACAGAAACTGGAAAACAAGGACTGTTGGTCCAGTTGGGATTGTATAATTTTTCCTGGGAAGTTTGCACACCTTTATCCCATCCTATGCTCCTAGGTGGCAGGAACAAAGGCAAATAGTCAAACATGATGAAACCATTCTTTCATGCTTTACTAATTACCTTTGTACTTGGGAGACACAATATACATATAAAAAGTATTAGTAGTAGTGTGAAATAAAAATCTTCCATTCTTTTAACAAAGAAAACTAGAACATTATTTTGCTGGTTGTAGTATCTTAAGTTTCTTTTTAAAAATAAAAAATGCATATTTCATGAAGTCTCTTAATATCAAAACTTCAATTTATCTTTTGTTGTCTTTTTGCGGTAAACTTCGATCAAATCACTTGAAATGTCAGATAAAAAACCAAATCACAAACAAATAAATGCATGTTTAACAACCTCATTTTGATAAAAAGTCTTTGATAATATAAGAACCGATTTGTTTCTTATTTACATCTTTGCATGAAATTCATGCAGTTGAAAGTCACCATTTGTGAATATTACATCTTGAATTCTTGATTTTAGCACTGAAATTAATTAAAATGGTGGACCAACCTTCCGTCATTCTGCAAAATAAACATGGTAATATTCATTTATTCTAAAATATTAAGCTTTTTTGATAAGTTAGACTGAATTCTAATAACACAGTGATACAATGCTCTCACTTTAATCTTGCACCATTAGCAGAAGGACCAGCATGATGAAGATTTTGATAGAGCATGGAACACAGAAACTGGAAAGCAAGGACTGTTGGTCCGTTGGGATTGTATAATTTTTCCCTGGAGTTTGCACACTTTTATCCGCATCCTATGCTCCAGGTGGCAGGAACAAAGGCAAATAGTCAAACATGATGAAACCATTCTTTCATGCTTTTACTAATTACGCTTTGTACTCTGGGAGACACAATAATACATATAAAAAGCTATTAGTAAGTAGTGGTGAAAATCAAAATCTTCCATTCTTTTAACAAAGAAAACTAGAACATATTTTGCTGGTTGTAGTTCTTAAGTTTTTTTAAAAATAAAAAAATGCATATTTCATGAAGTCTCTTAATATCAAAACTTCAATTTATCTTTTGTTGTCTTGTTTGGGTAACTTCGACTCAAATCACTTTGAAA